TTACTTGGTATGTGGAACTGAGACGATGAAACAAACATTGGCGACATGGCTACATTTGCGTATCTGGATCTTAGGAAAGAAACTCCGTATAAACACGTCCACATTCACGAAGTTTGCAAAAATGACACAAACAGCCACCGTCACTATGTCACACAAAGTACCCAACGCTGTGACTATTTTGTATTGGAAGTTTAGCTAACCGAGTTAGCCGGCCATGCTGGAGATGCATTGCCTTGTGAACGCCTTGAATCGCAATCTGTCGGCACTAGCAAAATCTCGGCGGAGTCAATTAAAGAGGAAGCCTCACAGACTGATGTCCCAGACATACGTTGGATGGTAGCTTTTACCAAATCTGCCGACGTCTGTCTGAAATCTCGGCGCTGTCTTAAGCCAATGCCCAGATAAGCTAAGTTTACAGTATGCGTTATTTCGCCCTTGGATTGACGTAGCACATGGTCTAGTCTCCCAGTCAGTGAGAAAGCAGGGAGATATCTGCGGTAAACGGAACTACAATCACAATTATACTCGGGCGGCTGCCTTTATATCAAAGTAAAATGCTGCTGAAGGTGTTGATACAGCCGGACACGGATGTACATGATACTACTTTTACGGATTTACGTATTTGGACCATGGTTGCCCTTTTATCGTAGAGACAGACAATGAGACAGCCAAAGTATCAAAAAAAACATAGGTCACCTGAGACCTCGAACAGCCCTGCTCCAGAATTCGTCCAGGGTGTTTCCTGTAAAGCAGTATCACTGCTCAGTTAATTAGGGTTCGAGCAATTCGAAAAATGAATAATCCCATAGAATCTTGGTCAACCGCATCGTTTGAACAGATGTTCGATACTTGCGGTAAGGACCAGATTGGACATCTCATGAAACATGCCACTGTGGGCGTACTGGAGGATGGGCTGCTGGATTTCAGCTAGACGCAAATAGGAAGCTACATAACCGAGGATTCTCACCAACCCAGTCAATGCAGAAACAAACCCAAAACTGGATACCATTTTGCATGGCCTGGAGTGCAAAATCCCTGTCAGCAAGGAATTCAGCCAATGAAAGCCGGAGGATAATATTACTAACAGAACTTGGATTGACAAGTCGAGTTTTGTTATCGGAGTGGATGACGACATGTTTTTCTCTATGGCATTCATCAAAGAGGAAAAACCTGCCAGGACGATAATCAAAGTGAACAAGCACTTCCTAATTTTCTAAAACGAAGAGTCCGCCACGGTAAAAAGGAGTATGCTGATCTAATTAACCCGTCATTTCCTACCTAATTGTACTTGGTACGGTTCTGCTTATATTTAATCTAGCCGGCCACGATAACGTCGTGCATTATGGTCCGTGGCCAACTTGAAGAGAATCGAACGCTGCGGCGATGAAAACATAGAAGATATCCATTGGTTGTTGTTGTTCGGTAACGGTAACCGCAAGCAGTCCGTTCTTACCAAAAGAAACAACACTACGTGACGTTAGGAACCAATGGTTCAATTTCAGGCTGTATTCGGATGTTGCTTCCGAGTGTTCTAAGTTACTTCAGTACATGTGACAAATAGAGTCAGCCACAGAGTATTACTTCAGTGCCATGCGATTTCGCTTACTGAAAAAAAGCAACCAATTACTACTTCAGCTACGTACCAAATAGTTATAGAACTCTTCAACAGCATTCATTTAAACCATTTGCGCCGCTTGGGGTACGGCCAAAGGACTACCATGACGATTATCTTCCTGAGACGCCGTCTCAACCAGGTATTAATATTTTGAAAAATCACTGTTAGTTTCAAACAGAAGACAGCAGTCTTAGCACTGCTACCTTTACATCTGTCGGCCGCTAAAACTGACTGAAATGTTCGAGAGCGACCAGAGAGCAGACTTCGTCAACACCTGTATCCGAAAGATCGTTATATCTCAACTGCAATATTATTACTCTTCCTACCTCAGAACTTGCACTCGAGTGTTTCTAGGTTCGATAGAACATCCACAGACACGACCTTGAGCGCACCAGCACCTCTGATTCGAAAGCCCTTCGATGAAACGCAACTTTACGACCGCCACTGTTCTGATTAGAAAAGTCAGACTAATATTACCCAAAGTTGAGGGCACACGATTTTTTGAAGGGCACATCGCGACTAGATAACAGTTGCGAAAACCGTAGTAACGATGATTATTTGTTACTTTAGACTAAGAGATTTTGATCAACAGGACTTAAGGCCAAGAGACGTGTAACTAACACCCGCCAATCGTGGCCGTAATAGTCAAAGGCGGGTTAGAAACACCACATGCATAGTCGTTGTTGTGGCTTTAGGATCAGCCGAAGAACTGGAGATGTACTGCTTGGCCAGGAAATTGAGCAGACTGCATGAAAGTCAACTGATTGTGCAAATGTTCCCCCTTCGCCTAGCACGCCTTGCAATGACTGAATGAGAGTCCGTAAACACTACAAATGTGGTTAGGTATGGTAGTCAGTGCAGTTGGTCACCTAGTATTTGCATTATTTCTGGGTAGGAGTATTGAATAACCTTCATTATCACCTAGAATTTCCTTCCAGTCCCTACTATATCCCATTAGCCCAAAAAATTCTATTCTGTAAAGCTGTCAAATTGTAATTCAACATATCTAACAGGCACTGTTAAGCGTATCTGCCTATACATCTTGGCCACTACACCATAGGGTACAACATAAGGCAGAAGATGAGGGGCCGAGAACGCAGTCCGACTCATATTATTTGTACGAAATCTGAATATGGTGGGGAGGCGAGTAAGTCAGCCACAGTCACTAGGAATTTCTAACCTAAGTAGCACCTGCTTTTCTGGGCAGAAATTCCTATTTGCCCTAACCGTCCGGCTGTAATCAAGCATTACATAAGGCAACATGCATGACTGGGGGATACCTGTCGAGTCGGAAACATGCCACACGATCACATCTTTCTCATTTGGGCTTAAGCAAACAGACGACGGAGCGACGGCGCCGCAACAAGGCCCTTACGGGAAGACGGCCCGCGAGTTATAAAGCCAACAAATTTTCTAGCTGCAACTCGGTAACAGCGCAGGGATTGGTAAAAATAATCGTAGTCTTGGAATTGTGAGGTCCATCTTTGGATCAGAGGTTGAACCGACGAGCAACTGCGTACGCTTAACTCGTATACTGACGAGGTAATACTTATCCGATTGACATCTTATCATCTAATGTGTTTAGATTCGGTTGACCAGAGTATCCACTTTAGGTATAACGGTAAATCAGTGAAGTGCGACTCGTAACTGAAAAACTTTAACACGCATACTCAAACCTATTATGCACCAAAAACTGCATGTTCCATCGACCGTCCGTGGAGATCCGGCAAGGTCTTAAAGACATTTGTACGTACGTAACCGACGCCTGTGGTTTCACATTTTTTCCACCTGCCGGTTCGGAAAGCATGGTCACCATCGTCTGCCACGTAAATGATTCAAGTAGATAGGTGGGGAGTTTTGAAAACATCATGCCGTCTTGGTGAAACGAAGCTTTTACACCTTACTTCTACTCCACTGTCATTTGCGGAAGAAAATAATAAAAACTACATAGAAAAATATTGGACAACTTAAAAGCTGGCAAGGCTGTAGAATTATCCTCACGAAAAATCGCACAGGACGTCATTCTCCACAGAGCCAAGCAAGGAGGAAAAATGCCAACCCAACAAGCGCACTTCCTGATTACCGATAAAAACTAGTACTTGTGGCCCAAGATATAAAAGCAAGCCTATGAGAGTTAGGTCGCTGTTACTTAATACGGCATGAGGCATTTTCGTTCATGTAAGATCCCAGGCCCCTGAACAGTACACCTGTAGTACCCGTTGACGGGCTGCCCGAATCCGTTTAGTACACCCGTGCTTGGTAAGAGGCAAGCGCTGACGGTTTAAAATAAAATATTTGCTAAGGGCCGCAAAGATATCAAAGAG